ATGGATAAATTAGACAAGGGTTTGTACAGACATTTCATCAAAGACGATGTGCAGATGACACAGAAGCACATAAACAGGCTCTCAACAGGATTTTCCATTAGAGAAATTGAAATCAAGTCCACAATGAGACACCACCACACACTTTTTTAAATGACTGAAATGAAGAGGAAATACAGATAACACCAATGCCGGTGAGCATGCCAGGTTGCTAGAGTCTAAATCATTGCTAACAGGAATGCAAAATGAAACAGATGCTCAGGAAAATAAGTTTTAGTTTTCTCTAAAATCAAACATGTCCTTAACACCTGACCCTAAGATCCCACTCCTGAATATTTGCTTTAGAGAAATACAATCTTATATTCACACACAATTTCTATTAAAATATTCAAGATATTGTGTGTGGGGGTGTGTGTGTCAGAAACTAAAAATAACATAAATGTCTCAAAATTTGAATAGGTGAAGTAACTAGGAAGCATCTATCAATTGAACACCATCAGCAATAAAAAAAAAACAAGTGACCGAAACATAAACCATTACCGGTGAACTCCAGACATGATGCTAAGTGAGAGAAGTCAGTCTCAAAGATCAAAGGGACACAGCTGTCAGCACCACGGTCATCCTCAGGTGTCAGTGGTTTGGGCTGGGCTTTCTCTGTCTCTTTCCTGACCAGGCCCAGATGTTGAGCTCCGCCACTTGCAGATGGAAAATCCTACTATTTTCAATTATGCTCTGAGGTTTGAATTGCTTCACAGACTGAACCAAACAAACACAGGCTAATTTGAACAGTGTCCGGCATATTTTCCAACCACAAGAGAACTTCCCCCAGTTCTCCCCCTCCTCACTTCTCTCCTGCAAACCAGCAGCCCTGCAGTTTAGTCTGGATCTCCCGTGCATCCACCCATCTCGTTCCAAGGGCCTTCCACCACACCCTCCACTGTTTTTGAGAGCACTGGCAGGCTTTGAACTTTCCCACATTCTGCTGTTATTGAAGTTAGGATGTTTAGGACCAAATTAAGGATCATACGTTATAACTGAATTCCAGCACTCCCTTTCCCCTGGGACAGCACGCACAACCAAGTTTCTGCCGGTGGAGATATAGTTGAGCTTTTTCCTTCCGCAGCGTAGGAGATGAGTGCTAGGTGGAGGGTTGGGCAGAAGCTTGCCATGTTCCCAGTACTCTAGTTCTGGTGGGGAGGAACCTCTGCCGTAGGACAGAGCTAGAAATCAGGGACCCAATGTTCCCAGTGGCACTGGACCCAGGGCAGAGCCTCCATCCATGAGTGGGGCTCCATGGAAGAAGTGAGTCTCTGGCTCTCAGTAGCTCTTGTCCAGAACTGAGCCTCAGCATCACGTGCTGTGGGCAGGGTCAGAGGGCCAATGTCCTGGCCCCTGGGGAAGAGTTTCCTCTGGTGGGAGCTGGTAGAAGGTGTCCTGTCTTCCTGGATGCATCTGTCTGCAGTGGAGTCTACGTCATGCTGAGCTTGGATGTGGAAGGAAGGAAGAGCATCTTAGATGAAATACGATGACTGGACTTACTGAGTTTTATAGATTTTCTTGAATAAATGTTTCTTCACTTACTTTATGCTGTTAGAGCCTTTCCAAACCCTGTAATTTTTCAGAAGTTTCAAAATAATTTTCACTGGTCTCATGGGGACATGGATTCATTGAGCCCCTCATGCTGTCAAAGAGAAATATAATTTTTTTTTCACTTTGTAGAGAACATCCGTGGGTTATGAAATAATGAGTTGACTTTTCGTCCAACACTTTGCAGATACCATCAATTTTCCTCTTGCTTGTAAGGTTTAACTAGAAGAACGCTGTCGCCATCTTTTCTGTTCTTTGGGAAGGAATCCACCTCTACTCACCTCCACTTGCCTGTGTGTTTCTATTTCCATTTGGTTTTCAGCAGTTTTAATAAGATTTAGCTAAATGTGTGTGTGGGTGGAGGGGGTGGGGGACGGGGACAGGGTGTGTTATTCTGCTGTTCTGTGTTCTCTGAGATGCACGGATTCACGGTTTACTCTGTCTCCATTTTGGGGAACACAATTAGAATAAATGTCAGTGTGAGCCCAGAAAAAAGCCTCCCTGAAGGGGGAACACGACCACCTGGGGGCGCTCAGAACCCACTGAGCACCAGAGCCAACCTCAGGACAGGTGCAGATG